TACAAAGCTTTTGCCCACTTGCTCCTTGTTTGATACCTTATATCTATAGTTCACCAAAAATACAGCAGTTACTCAATTAATATAAACAATGAAAACAGATAAATAATAATTCACTCTTGAAATCTATATACAACATGCATTAGGGTAAGTTTTAAAAATTGTTTATGTGTATTTAAAAGGCTGAACTACATGACAAAATCATTTGTAAATTTTATAGGGAAAAATGTCTGGAAATAGTGGTATTGTGGGGTGGTTGATTATTCAGACTTACAGTCATGTTTAGTATGGAAAACATTGTGGTTACAGATACACTGGGATCAAACTGATGTTGATTTAATTCCAAATGGAATCTCTGTACCTGTGGACCAAAGCAATAAGTAAGTTTTACCACCTAGACTCTCTACTCTGAATATTCATAAAATGTTTGTATCATTTACCAGCATACCACTGGTTCCAGGGAGGGAAGAGAGGAGTTGATTTAGGTATCCTAGTTCCCAAAGGTTGCTTAAAGGGTTGCAGATAATCATGTCTCTGGTGAAAATGCCTCCTGTAGTGACCCTCCTATGTTAGTCCATTTTCCATTACTGTAATGAAACACCTGAAACTGGGTAACTTTATAAAGAAAAGAAATGGGCTGGCACTATAACTCAGTGGTAGAGTGCTTGCTTAGCATGCACAAAGCCCTGGGTTCAATCCTTGATACCACAAAGTAAATTTAAAAAAAAAATAGGTTGATTAGTTCACGAGTCTGGAGATTCAGGGTCCTGTATCTGGTGATGGCCTTCTTGACAACAGAGTTCTGAGGCTGCACAGGACATACCAAGACAAAAGTCGAGAAATGCACATGCATGTCTCTTCTGGTTTCTCTTCTAAAGAGGCCACCAGTATTCTGTCATGAGGGCTCCACTGGGATGACCTGAAATAACCCTGATTGTCTCCCAAAGGTCCTGTGTGTAAACGCAGTCAGATTAAGTTTCCACACCCATTTATGCCTCCCAATGGAGATTTTAATATACAAAGCTTTGGGGGACACTCAGACCCTATCTAAACCATACCACATACCTTTAGAAAATTCATCATGTAGTGGAAATTGCATCTGGCAGTGCAAGAAATAATTCTGTAAAGGGACA